CTCGAGCTGTTTCTGCCTGAGCTCCAGACACTACTTACACACACACACTCACCATTCATTCCCTCTGTACTTTTAACAGGTATCTTTAATACGAACAAACCCAAATGCAACCTATCAAGTCATCCACTTGAGCCATAATATGCGACTCTTCTCCCCTTAGTATTCACACCAGCAGCACTGCTGTTTTTATCTAGATTCAGCCACCTTCCATCACTTAAACCACTACCTCCCATTCTACTCAAAATCACTATCCTGTCTCATCTGGATCAGCTGGGTCTCCCTGCTTCCCCTCCTATGCCCCCAAAGTCAACTTTTCACATACATAGCAACCAAGGATGATCTTCTAAAGACTGTATCACTGCTTCAAAATTATACTGGAAGGGAGAAAGGATATGGGTATGTGTAAGGGCAGGAGTAGTTGTTCATTGGTTAATGCTAAAACAGATATGGAAATGGAGTTAAATAATTAGTGTCCCATTCTTTTAAATTCAACAAGTAAATACAATGCAGAGCATGCCACTCCTCTGCTCAGAACCTTCCAATCAGAATCTATCTACCACACACAGGCAAAATCCAAACTCCTTACCAGGGACCAGTCACACAATGGCCACTATCATTTTCTCCCCTTCAACATCCACCACTCTCCTGCTACTTCACTGCCATTCCCAAACATGCCAAACTTGCTCTCAACTATGTGCCTTTGCACTTTCCATTTCTTAACCAAGACTGTTCTTCTTAATGACACTTCATCATCTCATTCAGTTACATTCAAATGTCTTTTTCTTGGTGAGCAACCTTGTACTTTGTTGTCTCCCATCTTATTAATGGTTGACACACTGTCAACTTGAGTAATCTAAAAGCTTAACTAAGTGACTCAGCAGTTCTATATCCTGGGGTGAAAAGGACATGCCCTTACCTCGCCAGAACATTGCTCATTGTGTCAACTTGAGAAGTTTAAAAGTTCAACTAAGTGATTCCACAGGGGGCCAGGGCCTCTTTGTGTGCTTGCTGCTTTTGCTGTCTTCTGCACCTTGAATTGTTGCCCCTGAGCCACCCCACCCTGTCCTGGTACCAGCTGATTACAGACCGAAACATCCACAAACTGTGAGCTAAATAAACCTTTCCTCTCTTCATTTTGGGCACTGC